TCTAACATGTCCAACATTGTAAAGATCGCGTGATCGCGATTCATTTATTACCCGTCTATATTGAATCAAGTACTTTTACACAGAAATACCCAGCCACAAATTACTTTTTACAAACTATGCAGGAATGAGTGATGGTTAATCAGGTACAATCGAATTTAAAAAACGTTTCTTTAAGTTTTCAATTACATTAAATAACTTTCTTTTATCCCTCATTTATTTCCTATTATAGATTCACGAGCTTTACCGGAGATCACCGAACTTACTACACCAAGAGATGTGCTATCAATTTCTAGAGTTTAAACCTTAGTTGTTATAATTAAGCAGTTCCCGTGCACAACATTGTTACCTGATTCTTCTAGTGTTTTCAGCGATCCATTCACATAGTTTTCACCTTTCCGTCCATTTCAAGGATCCGCTTGACCGCTAATGGCACGATTTGTTCACGGATAAGTCAGCTTGTCGTTCCCAACTGTGACATATACACAGTGACTATATTTACGCTACCACATAACTGTGATATATAATAACGTAAGCACCCAACTATACATATACGCTGGATATATCCCAAAACGTCCACATCACAATACTGTGACATATCGGCAATATTCACGTTACCTCCCAACTGTGTCATATACGCAATATTCATGCCACCGCCCAACTCCGATATATACACAAAATTCATGCTACCACCCAACTGTGACATATACGCAACATTCATGCTACCACCCAACTGTGACATATACACACTATTCATGCTACCACCCAACTGTGACGTATACACAACATTCATGCTACCACCCAACTGTGACATATACACAATAGTCACGCTACCATCCAACTGTGACATATACGTAACATTCATGCTACCACCAAACTGTGACATATACACAACATTCATGCTACCACCCAACTGTGACATATACGCAACATTCATGCTACCACCCAACTGTGACATATACACAACATTCATGCTACCACCCAACTGTGACATATACACAATATTCATACTACCACCCAACTGTGACATATACACAACATTCATGCTACCACCAAACTGTGACATATACACACTATTCATGCTACCACCCAACTGTGACGTATACACAACATTCATGCTACCACCCAACTGTGACGTATACACAATATTCACGCCGCCACCCAACTGTGACATATACACAACATTCATGCTACCACCCAACTGTGACATATACGCAATATTCATACTACCACCCAACTGTGACATATACACAACATTCATGCTACCACCCAACTGTGACATATACGCAATATTCATACTACCACCCAACTGTGACATATACACAACATTCATGCTACCACCCAACTGTGACATATACACAATATTCATACTACCACCCAACTGTGACATATACACAACATTCATGCTACCACCCAACTGTGACATATACACACTATTCATGCTACCACCCAACTGTGACGTATACACACTATTCATGCTACCACCCAACTGTGACATATACACAATAGTCACGCTACCATCCAACTGTGACATATACACAACATTCATGCTACCACCCAACTGTGACATATACGCAATATTCACGCTACCACCCAACTGTGACATATACGCAATAGTCACGCTGCCACCCAACTGTGACATATACGCAATAGTCACGCTGCCACCCAACTGCGACGTATACACAATATTCACGCTACCATCCAACTGTGACATATACGCAATATTCATGCTACCACCCAACTGTGACATATACGCAATAGTCACGCTGCCACTCAACTGTGACGTATACACAATATTCACGCTACCACCCAACTGTGACATATACGCTATATTCATGCTACCACCCAACTGTGACACATACACAATATTCATGCTACCATCCAACTGTAGACCGCCTCCGTGGTGTAGTGGTTAGAGCGTCCGCCCGGAGAGCGGAAGGTCGCCGGTTCGATCCCCGACCGCGTCATAACAAAAGACCTTAAAATATGGTACTTGTTGGTCCCTGCCTGGCGCTCGGCATTAATGGGTACAACAACGACTGGTCGGCTCGGAGTCAGTATACTGTGTCTGAGTGGGGTATTCATGCTTCACTGCGGCATGGTATCTCAGTGGGCTAGCACTATAAAACCAGCTTCAGTCTGGGCTAGTACAAGCAGCCGCACATACACATACACACGCATGCACGTCGTCATATGAGCGAAATATTCTCAAGCACGACGTTAAACCCAATTTCACCTCACCTCACCTCACCTCACCACCCAACTGTGACATATACACAATATTCACGCTACTACCCAACTGTGACATATACGCAATATTCACGCTACCATCCAACTGAAACATATACGCAATAGTCACGCTACCGTCCAACTGTGACATATACGCTATATTTACGTAACCATCCAACAGTGACATATACGCAATATTCACGCTACCATCCAACTGTGACATATACGCAATATTCACGCTACCATCCAACTGTGACATATACGCAATAGTCACGCTACCATCCAACTGTGAGATATACGCAATATTAACGCTACCATCCAACTATGACATATACGCAATAATCACGCTACCATCCAACTGTGACATATACGCAATATTCACGCTACAATCATGTGACATATACGCTATATTTACACAACCACACCATTGCTCATGTCTTTATCCCATCACAATAGCAATTCGTTTAGATCGTTCTTTAGAAGTGGTCCCACCAGCAGAACCTCGTTGTAAGGGTTATCTTCAGGCTACAATTACGCTGATGTCGTAAATCGTTCTTGGTGGGTAACGATTTACAATTGTCGTATCGATCAACTTGCGCGGAGGACGCAGGCTGCAGGGAATGGAAGGAACTATTTCAAGCCTTATCACTGCTATTAGTGAAGATTCTATGATTTGTAATGTCGTGCGTATGAATGAATCTTTTCATGTCTTTGAAGCTTTTATGTAAAGGAAAACTTGGGCAGGAAGTAAGACATGTAATCGCCGGGCTTGGGAAGGTCTTCGTACGAATGCACTCCTTGTCACCGTAAATTACCTGACGCATTGAACAGACTGCAAAATGTATTACCGATCTTTTCTTCGGTTGGAGCTGTGTCATTTTGTTTTCGGTGGAAAATTGGCATGTTTATCGACATTAGCAAGACGCCAATATTTCGAAAGAAAACCCTGGTCGCTTGATTTCATGTTGAGAGCATGCGATGGAATTAATTTTCTGCCTGAGAATTCGCTTTACAGAGTTGCTTCCCTTTGAATTAGATGCTAAATCCCGGAAACCTATCGTTGGTTATTTCACAAGTGCTCGTAGGTTTTTCCAAATGTTATAAACGTCTTCAAAAGGCCTTCATCACTTCGTCCTTTCTTACATAAAGTAAATGTGAACACGGTGTTGAACACTTCTGGACGCAGGCTGCGTATGCCGACTTTTGGAACAAACAGGGTTCGCCACTCATTTGTTCCAGCTAGTATTAGATGCATTAACAACAAATTCTGTGAATGACTTGTCTTTTAACTGTCAAAATTCTATTCAATATCTATGTTTGTGTACTAAATTGATATATTTATATCCTGATTATGTCATGATTACCAATTGCAATGTTATGTATGGCTGCTTTATGAATGAAAAACTGGAGAACGTAGGATGCAAAACAAATTTCCCTTGGGACAATAAAGAATTATCTTATCTTATCTTATCTTATCTTATCTATCTTATCTTATCTTATCTTATGTTTAAAGAGACTGTGTATTATGTTTTATAATTCATTTATAGGTGAATTGATCATTCTTCATATCTAGTTTGTTTGTTGTTTATATTCTAGCCATCTGGCGGTGGTCTGTAAATGATCGAGTCTGGATCAGCCAATCCAATGATCAGCAGCATGAGCATCGATCTACGCAATTTGGATGCATGACATATGTCAACCCCGTCAGCGAGCCTGACCACCCGATCCCGTTAGTAGCCTCTTACGGCGCACACAAAATCACACACATATCCCCCAAATAATTCATGACACTTTTTTGGTTTTGTTCAGGATATATCGTTACTTTAGAGATGTCACGATGTTGACTGACGATTATGGAACTCGGTACACATGTGGAGATTTTTGGGGAGGAGACACCTAGTTCCTCACGTTTGTCGAACGAGTCCATATACATGGGTGGTCGGTTGGCTGATGACATGTAGCTTTTCCCCAATGGCTTTGATGATGGTTCACGCTGTAAGTCGCGTGATTGACATATCTAGACTCGTGTATACGCAGCCACCTTGAATAAGTTTGTCTATTGCTTCCTCAACGTTAAACAACAACCGATCACAGCCCACACCTATGTGGGTCCTCTGTTACTTTATTACAATAAGCACATGGACACAATGTGTGAAGCCCATTTGTGGTGTCCCCCGCCCTGATGTTGCTGGAATATTGCTAAAAGCGGCGTAAAACCAAACTCAGTCAGTCAGTATTACAATACGTATTTTCTGGAGGTTTTCCTCGTCCCGCGTCACTGATCCAACAATTCAATGATCCAAAATATTAATATATGTACCAAATATGTCTGTGATGAATTACTGTACCAGATGGTGATTCCTGGAACTAAGGAATATAGATCCCCACCAAGTTGGCACCAACTTATGTTTGTCGTAGGAGGTGACTAGAGGATCGGGCGCTCTGACTCAGAGGTTTGGTTATGGTCATCGCATCCCACATGAGCGGAGGGATGCTGAAGATGCCTGTCACTAGATTGTCTGGTTCAGTGCTAATATAGCTGGAATATTGCTGAGTGAGGCGATAAATAACAATCTAGGACACATTATAACTAGCTGTGTAGTCTTGGGGTTAAATCTTTCGCTCATCATGTCAAGATCCGGTATCATTCCCCTGACGGGTACAATGTCTGAAGCCCATTCTGGTGTTCACCGCCGTGATCTTACTTGAGTTTAGCCATGACCCAAAGCCGATCTCACTCACTCATGGAAAAAATGAGTTCAGTAAACACAAACTAAACAACAACATAATTTATTTCAATAAATATAATATATTACATAAACAAAGTCATGTGTGATTTCCCTAAGTGGTGTTATATTACTCTAAAAGCTATGATGCACGTATATTTCCTTAATTGTGGGATTTCTCGTTTTCTCATTCAAAGGTCACGTGACTTCTATTCTGAAACAAAGCAAGAAACATCGTAATTAGGGCGTACATTTACACATGATGACTTGGCGGTTGACTATTGTATTGATCTAATATTGAAATATACGTGCGCCTTCGTAACTCCTGACTGAACCATTTCCGTCTTGTTATTGACCTCTCAGAAATGTACAAGCATCTGGCATATTTTTTATATTTTATAATGATAAAAAGAGATTATTATAGGAGCAAGTGTGTCGTACGATTTATACGAAACGAGTGTGAAATGTTGTATTTTGTATTTGTATGGTTTTGCACGAGGTTCGTATAAATCGCACCTTGAGAGTGTAATAATGTCTTTATTATCCTTTTTATTCATGTACATTTGTGCAGTAAAACACGGTAAGCAACACTCTCCTACCCAGAGTTCCATGCGGCAAGCCATCATAGTACCTCTGCCACAGGCCAGAAAAATGTGACGATTCGTCACATCTTGCACCGTCCATTCAATATAATGTACAGATTTCATTTACACTTTTATTTTTGACGAGTCTACACATCTAACTAAACATCTTTAATAGAATGAATTAGTTTCACTGAGAAAATATCCAAAAAACATGTAACACTATTTCGAGTTGCGTAGCGATCCTTTGTTTACATAGGTTGTACGGCTCCATGTGCTGTCATCGAAGCCGACGAAGAGCAAACGATGCAGCCAGTTTGATATCTAAATAGGTACTGTCATAGACCTTACTGTCGCAGTTGTGGAAGAATATATATGTAACAATGTAAAACATTATGAAGAGAGCGCCGAAAAGCTTTCGTGATTCCAGTCTATTCTTATTATAAATATGCGCGTTTGATTACAAACAAGAGAAAAGTCCGGTCACGTGATATGCAAATTAGCCTGTGGCAGTGATGTTATGTTAAGTCATCGCTGTGCCGGAGTGTGGGTAAGCAAGTGTTACGGCCATCTTCATTGACGTCGCGCTCAATTGTTTAATGACGTCACATACGACGAAATACAGAAACACTGGTTGCTAGGGAAAATTGATAATGTCCACTAGTGCACATACTGAAAATATGACATGGCGCATGTTCCACCATATGGATAATAATTAGAGAATAACCCACGAGGTACGGGTGATTACGCGAAATATGTTCTGAGTGAAATTAATGTTCACTGTCCCGAGCTTGAGCGAGGTATACTTTCTTTTGCTCCTCAGAATATATGAGTATTTCAGTCTTAGTCTCAGTCTCACTCGCACCAGGGTTTACTTAAGTCTCATTAGTCCCTGAGGTGTGATGCCTGGTCCAAGTTTGGTCTAGACTGTCATTGTATTCTAACGATTTCCCCGCGAACAGTAAGGTCTGGAATAATTGCTAACAGAAAACGCTATATTCGTACCATGTAATTGGGTTTCCCTGTTTATTTTCACTAGCACTGATGTAAAGCATCGATCTTATAAAAGACATCCATATCTGTTCTCCGGAAATGTTAATTCTTGATGTTTCTTGCATTTTTCATATTTCTTTGCTATATTCATAATCTACTCATGGGGAAGGGGGTGACAACCATTATTGGCATGAGTATATTTAATACGAAGAACACAACATTGAAAATAGATTTTGAAGATAGATCAAGTTTCCATTTTTGCAAAGTTGTAAGATATATTTCATTTTTCCCTGGTATGAGAGTATTTCGTTAAAATATTATGACCGGCAAACACATCGACAGGATTTATTGTCAATGTGGACCGGAGAACGGTTTAATTCCGATTTCGTGGCATGCAGCACTAGACCAAACTGAACACAACGAAACCGTGCCACATTGCATTTTCATGTCAGTGTGTAATCGATCTTAGAATGGTTGAAGAAAGGAATTCCAAAGATGGATTTGCAGGATTTTAGAGTCACGGTGTTAGAGATGGATATTACATAATACACAGATGTCCTTAGTGAGTGAATGCTCTACGACTGACAGCAACAGGTGCCATATTATCCACTATGCACTATTGAAGAACAGACTTCATAAAAATGGTATGTGCACTAGTGCAAATATCACTTCACGTGCAGCAGTGTATTGTTGACGTCATCCGGACGGCATTGTTGACATCATATCTTATTGTGAAGGAAGGTCGGAATGACGTCACACTACCAACACATGAAGATTGTTGCGGTCATTGAAAACATTTGGTTTTATATCAGGACCGTGGTGATCAGTGCGTTATTTTCTGAAGGAGCCAAAAAGAATTAAAAGATTTTGCGAAACGAGTGCCAAATTCCTTGTATTTCTTAGCAACACCTGTCAAAAACGTATAAACGTTTTCAGTCTTCATTGGAGTTTAAATTTTTTAATATTGTTTGTTGTTTATCGCCGCATACAGCAATATTCCAGCTATATGGAGACGGTCTGAGTCTGGATCAGACAATTCAGTTATCCACAGCATGTGCATCGTTCTGCGTAATTGAGTTCGATGACTTGTGTCAACCACGTCAGCGAGCCTGACCATCCCGTTTGTCGCCTCTTACGACAAGCATGGGTTGCTGAAGACCAATTCTCACCCGGATTTTCACACTGACCAATTACTAACCTTGACTGGCGTCAACTTGGGATTCCCTGACTCTGACTTGCGTTGTGTGAGACCCACAAACAGATCGAACCTTCATTGCATCTGCCTGACTGCTGCTCTGGGACACATCACTTCCATTACTGTCAGGGTCTGGAGCTTCTGAGACCTTGACATTTGGAACGTCCTTGGCACCCCCTTGCTTCCCCGTGACCTTCTGTGTCTTCGGCTCCCCCTGTGATTCTGAGCTTGAGGTGGTGCATGAGGATGAGGAATAGTTAGCGGTAGAGCTGCAGGTGTTTATTGTGATTGCTGGCACCGAGGCTGTGGCCTTTGCGCTTTTATCTATGGCCCTTTTAGAACTGTCACGTGACTTAACAGACTGAAGTGTTGACTTTTTTGTAAGGGAAGTGTCACTTGATTTTATTACTTTCTTTGATCTACTCTTATTCAATTCGGCGGAGCTCGATTTCGAAGCTGATGCATCCTTTGACTGACTTCGTTTCACAATTTGTTCTTGGTGTGAATCGCCCGATGATACACTTGATACGCTTGTTTTGGATTGTTGTTTGTTCGTCCTCTTCCTTACCTCATTTGTCACTCTCCCTGATGACTTCTTTGGGAGCCTGTCTTTACCTTCAATAATAATTTCCCGATCCACAGAAATTTGACTTTCGTCCGAGTTTCCAGAGGACTCCATGGAGGTTTTAGATATGGACATCTTATCTGATGATTCTGGTTGGACTAGGCTACGGAATGAATTACGGGCATTTACAACCTTTGGCACCAACCCAGTGGGAGCCTCCACGAGCGTCAAATTGGCAAGATTTTGGATCTCGTCAGCCATACCTTCCGTAAGTGACGGAGGTGACACATGCTGATTGCCATTGGTATCTTCGCCATCGGGAGCCGCGATGTGTTCAGCTTCGCTGAGGGATACAACAATCTGCGAGACCACATCCTTCACCATACTGTGAATGCTAGAATCAGTATCCGCCTCCACTTTGCCAGCACCTTTCTGGCCAGATCCGTCATCCCTTTCCAAAGGTAAAGTAGCAATCTGCTGGGCGACATTTTCCATATTGTTCGAACTGACAACTCCGTGTACGATATTGGTCTTCACTCCTTCTAATGCATTCACAAGGGTGTTTTGCAGGCCATCCACTTGGTCGCTGGTGCCAGTTAACGTTCCAGCCAGTGAGGACAACTCCATGTGGCTCAGTTTTCCCTGTTTGATGTTTGTAATGGTCTGGCTGATCACTTCAGCAACAAGATCGTTCACGCATGTCAAGGTGTCCTGTTTAGCTTCTGTGTCTTCTGGAGGAGCTGCCTGAGCTGCCTGATCTGCCTGAAGAGGATCAGAGACTTGAGATATTTCTGGTTGAAAACCTGTTTTGCTGTCTCGGACATTGATATCAGACTGAGAGTATGAGTCATTGGCCAACGCTTGATTCAATGTTACAAGAACAAACTTGGCAACCTCAGAAGATGAGACTTTATCTAAAGGAATATCCTCAGATGAAGCTTTTGAAGACTTTTTAGAACTTGCGATTTGTTTCGCCTCGTCTGCCACTTCATCTTTTATCCCAGCTATTGCATTTTCAACGATCATCTCGGCAATCGTCTTGTTCAGAGTTTCAAGTACCAGTGAAGATGCCCCCCGAACACTGGAGTCAGACATGCAGTTGGCACTTTCAGTTGATGTCTTCTTGGATCCCTCTGCCGAAGATGTCATATTTTGTATCGATTCCACAGCGACTTCCAGATGACTGTATATAAATTCTTCAAGAAGAATTGAGGAGCTTCTGGTGTCATCCACAGTCCTTTCGTCCGTGGATCGTCTTTTTTCTGACACAACTGATTGGAGACTCTGTAACACATAACATTCTGTCTCTTTTGGAACCTCCGACGATTCTTTCCTCTTTCCTGGAGTAATGTCATCTGAGGACTTCACTCTGACCCTAGAAATAAGTTGAAGTTTTGTAGAATCGTCCAGTGTCAAATACCCTTCATCCAACTCGCTTTGAATCCCATTTAACAAATCGTCAACAAGTATGTCTGCCAATGTTGAAGATCGTTTCCTTGTATTTTCATCTATCGTGAGAACCCCTCTGGAAATATCACTCTGTATTTGTTTTATAACATCATTGACAACGTTCCTGGCAATAATGGAGGATTCGTGTTTAAGGAGTGAGGTGACACTTTCTGGTTTCAGATGTTGCAGAGAGGATTGCCTAGGAGTGTGCATTCCACCTAACACCGTTAACAGAGTAGCCTGAACAAACTGGATCAGAAGGCTTGCATCCACACTGGACAAAATGTTACCAACAGTTTTAAGTTCTGGTGTCATCACAGATTTGGTCCTATCTAAATGAGACTTAAATGCTGAAAATCGGTCAGCGATTGCATGAAAGTATACCGATGCTGTCCTTCTCTGAGACACATCATTCACCACTCTCCGAAGGTCCTTGTGGAGAAGATCCACATCCATATTAATAAAGTCTTTACCTGGGCATATCTCTGTCATAAACTCAGCCACACAGTCTCTGGATACCGTTCCACGCTCTAAGCCCACAATCAACTCTTGCAGAACTGAGGTGACAAAGCCTACAATCTTGGATGATAGTTGTGACGAAGATGAAATAGCAGCCTCTACTCCACGTCTTGTGTCGACCAGCGAAGTGTCACTGGTAATGCCTTCAGCTATATCCTGGGCGACCTGCACTAATGTTTGTCTGACCAGAGACTCTATGTTCTGAGAGTCCACTGAACCGTAACTTTTGAACTGTACTGGAGTTGGTGGTCGCGACAGCACTGACTCTACTGAAGCCTCCTGGCCTATTCTGTGAAGAGTGTCCCATATGAACTTTTCCAAATCATTGCCAGACATCACACTGCTCAGCCTCGTGACACCCAAACTTTCTGTGTCGGTCGAGAGAGGCAAGCTCTGTAAGCTCACATCCTCCGTTACACATCTCATCACCTTGTTCAAAGTCAGACTTATCAGGTTCTCAATCATGAAGGAATCACTCTCATCGATCTGTATACGACTCGAACACTTCTGAGGATCGCCAATGAGGTAACTCTGAAGAATGATTGCAAATATTTTCTTTGCGTCATCATACCCAACCCTATCTTCACTGAGAAGGCGAGTGATATCTATAAGAGTCATTTTCATATGTTGAGGCAAGGAACTGGCATCATGCAGCCCTTCCTCAGATACATATATTGATGGCGTTACCTCCCCCTGAGGTGCAAGGGAACAGGCGATTGAGGAAAGCATATGAACAGGTATATTCCTCTCAGTAAGATCTCTTGTGATCCTGTCCATTGCTGCCAAGACCACATCAGTTGCTAGTGAGGACTCGGTTGGAGAGGGTCGTTTCATTGTGGACAGATAGCTTTCACCTGGGCTACTGCCAATAGTTGGAACATTTGATATGCCTTCCAAAGTGGATGATCCTACTTTCAGGAAGGAGGCTGCGAGTGCTTTGAGGGCTTCTTTTTCAAATTCTTCATCATCCATATGCTCCTGAATATTGTCCATGACTTCTTTCACCACCTGTTCTGCAACTTCAGTACTTGTCATTTCCATGGGATCAACGCCTTCAGCTGATGAGAACTGGATGCCTTTGTCAGTGAGAAGCTTGCGGCCAGTATTGACCAATGCATTCCCAATGCTCTGTATCTCTTCCTCAGTTATAGTGCCACTGTCGATTTGGTACAAAACAGAGTCAATCATTCCTTGTACATAATCCTTCCTTGACCGCTTGCTGTCATGTCGTGTGCTGATAATCTGCATGAGTTCATTTTCTGAGAACTCCCCTGCTTTGATGCTCACAAAAATCTGAGTTAGGATATCTGAGACAAACTCAATCATTTCTGTATGTGGCTTCTCCTTGGATGTATAAGTATGGTACGAGGACACAATAGCCGTGACAACCTTATCCATAACAGCACCCACCATAGTGTTAGCTTCCATCTCGTCAAGGACACTGTTGAGAGTCTTCCTCAGATCACCTTCCAACCTACAATCCCCACCACGAATGGCACTGACCACAGCTGACCCGATTTCTCTCACTCCATCCTGGGGCAGGCTTTTTGAATCGAGGTCATTTTTCACCCTACTCAGCGTTGTTGTAACAAAGTCCTCAAGGGCTGAGTCACTGATATGATCATCCTCATCAAATGCCTCTTCCGCTGCACTGGACAAGGTTCTGGATATCAGTCTGTCTAAAGCTTGCTCGCTGATGTCTTCATCAGCCTCTGCATCATTTTGAGCTTCTCTCACAATAGATTGGGTGATAGTTGTTAGATCCTCCTGACTCACTGATCCCGATCGGATGTCATCTAAGATCTTACTGAGGGTGAACCTCACGAGGTCGTCAGCAACATGATCGGAGGGAGATGACGCAAGATCATCTGCTCTCTTTCCTGAAACATATTTAATTCTCAAGACCTCCATGCAATATCCTGTAAGCTTCAGAAGATCGTCTCGTTTGATGCGGCTGTTGTTGAGGTCATCCAGGAGACGGAGCAAGAGAGATTCGACAAACCCACTCTCCTGCTTCGTGGGCATAGCTGGTTCCTTTATGTCAAAATCAAACTCTGATGTAAGCGGATCGCAAGGCAAAGGAGATGGGACCGGCGTGAGCATGTGCTCAGACACTGGTTTAAGACTTGACCCGGTGCCCATGACGTCAAGACTGTCCATGGGAGCTGGGATGATTGACTCGTCGAAGCTGAACCGTACTGATCTGCGCCTTGAATCTGAAAAAAAAAGAATATAAATTAAGCAAGTTGGGTTAAGAGGCTTTGAAGAGATACTATGCGTGTGGGTTAACGTGCATTTAAGCAATATTACAGCTGTTTCTAGAGTGGGGACATCAAGAAAGGGTTTCAAAGACTTTACATGTTTGTGAGTGAGTGAGTTTAGGTTTACGCCACACTCAGCAATATTCCAGCTGTATGGCGGCAGTCCGTTAATTATCGAGTCTGGACCATACAATCCAGTGATCAACAGCATGAGCATCGATCTGCGCAATTGGGAACCGATGACATGTGTCAACCTGACCACCCGATCCCATTAGTCGCCTCTTACGACAAGCATGAGTTACTGAAGGTTCATTCTAACCCGGACCTTCACGTGTTGTTTAAATGAAGGCTACTGCCAGATAACTAGGATATTGCTGACTGGGGCGTTAAACAACAAATACAACTTTCATATTCATCGATTCACCAACGAAGTCCCTACCTCCGATGCAGCTCTCGTCGGAATGCTGCGCGATGAAGGACAGTTCTTCATCCGTGCCCGTGTCTGGTCGCTCCAGCTCGTTCTGGTCATATAGGTAGTCATCATACAAGTCTGCATGAACAATAGAGTTTCAAAATTATTGTCAGACATAACCGGTATTTTGCAAAAGAAATCTGTTTCGAAAAGCTCAGAAAAGGTAGGTTGGTTTAATACGACCGTAATGGAAATTCATGAATGCTTAACTATGGTGACATGGAAGAAAACGTCTGTTCCTTAACTGCTTTTACTAGTATATCTGACATGTAGTAATTGGGTAAAATAACGAGAGAAAAGGGAGACTTAGATTTACGCTTAGTATCTGAAAGAATTACTTTTAATAAAAACAAACAATTTCTTTTAAACTGAAAAGGAGCCCAGTGAGATGGTAGACTCAAAATCTTAGGAAATCTAGACTTGCTTCATTTAGGTCTTTAGTATTGCAGGGAGCGTTGGGCAGTGGCGGAAATAATGTGCTTCAAGGAATGTGACACAGACTAGGTTAGAGTCAGGGACGCTATGACCGAAGTAGTATTGCCTGTTTGACTAGACATATACCCCTACGTATCCTCATTAAGAATACAAACTCCGAGAGATTGTGTTAATATATCATGTTGCATCCAATGCAAACTATTACTTAGTCTCATATGTAGTATTTAGTCTCAGCAGTGAACATCTAGTACTCGTTGTAATAGAGTATAAATATATTAGCCTTGATTGACTGTGAGACACAGAAACAGGTTATGTCCGGGGAAAGCGATGTGGCCATTCTGAGTGAGATAGTTCGACCGTCAAAGTTCAACAGTATTGCAGCGCGTCAGCTTGAAGGAAACAGCCGGAGGGATGCAGGCCCTTGCTTTGGGGAAACCCAAGAACACAAGTTTGGTGCTGACACACCTTGAAACATTATCAGGGGGGACCGGAATCCGAGCCCACTGTCATTGAATCGTGGCACGCCCACGCCTCCCACTGAAGATCGATTTGCGGCGCCAGTGTCACCTATGCTCCTGATCATTATTATAGGTGGCGCTATAGTGAAGGAATCTGTACTTACCATCATTAGAGTCCATCATAGAAGGGGAGGCTTGTTCCCCCGACTCCAACAGACGGAGGTACGCCGGGTAGATCTCCTGAAACAAAACTCCGGCGTTAGGGCAGACAAACATCTAGTCTCTGAAATGAACACATCGTACAGAAAAAACGGGTTCCTAAACTATGATCATAAAATATAATGAAAAGGGCCCAGACACTTTTACGGCATTTCCAGGGGCAATAACATGAAACAGATCACACAAGTCACCCTCCTGTTTCAAAGACTGCAATTAAATAAACAACGGGTCGAATCTTAACCTGAACAATAATTAACAAAATATTGGCATGTTGGGTCACCTTGTGTCTACTGTTGTCGTCACTTTGTCACTCAACTTTCTGTTTATTGTTATCCCCTGTCCGGGTTGCCTATCTCTAATCACCCACACTCCCTAAAACTCCCACCCTCATCACGAACTCTCTAATCCCCGGTGCTGCCTTCGCCATGACAGATGTCATTCGTCAAGACTTCCGTATTCCGACTAAAGGGATCGGGTGGTCAGGCTCGCTGACTGGGTTGACATATGTCCTCGTATCCCAATTGCGTAGATCGATGCTCATGCTGTTCATCACTGGATTGTCTGGTCCAGACTCGACTATTTACAGACCGCCGCCATATAGCTGGATTAGTGCGGAGTGACACATTCACTCACTCACTTCCGTATACAGCAAGAGGAACTCGGGTTGTATCGGAATGACAACAGCTGGTCACGAATGGGTGCACAGAGAATGCTCGTGATTTCACAATTCAACCAGGAATCGAAATATAGTAATGTTAAATATCACGACAGTTTCCAACATAAAACCAACAAAAATAACAATAACTCGTATTCTGTAAACGTTGCTGCAAATGTCAATGTCGTAATATACCGTAATGTCGAAATTTCCCCACACTAGAAATCGCCTTCCATACATACTTTGACATTCTTTTGACGCAGGTTAATATAATGTGTGCCACTGAACTCATATATCGCTTGTATTATTCATCGGAGATCGAATACATTCTTAATTCTCTTGAAGTGAAGCAAAACACTGTCATACATATAATTACGGAATCAACTGAAGTCAAATGTCAGATATTTTTCGCTACATAATTAGAGTAGATAAATCAAGGAACGACATACATCCAACGTTAACTGAGATAACGTACTTCTGTAAAATAAATATGCTTTACGAAAATGAAAACAACTTCGAGCTTAGTAACAACGTTTGATGATTCATTTCAAAGAGAATGTTTGATTAATGTACAGAAGACAGTAGTATTAATTTCAAATTGATTCGTTAAAAAGACTGACAGCTTCGAGTCATTGAAAATAAACTTACATCTTAGTGAACCCATAGCGAAAATCAGTTGAGCGGAAGCCTACCAACCTGGTATAAATTACGTCATTTGGCGGTCTATTTGTCCCATTTGACATGCCGGTTCAAATGAAATGATAATCGTAACAATTTCAAAGGAGTAATTAAACGGAAGTGATTTTCGGTATGTTAACTACTTTAAAAGCATATCAAGAACAAATCAGTTTAAGGGGAAACCTCAATCTCATCAAAGCAACGTTTTAAATCACCAGATGCACCAACTTAACAGATTATTAATATTAAAAACAGTCAATAACCAGATTACCTGCACTGTACACATGCGCATCCTCTTAACTCGGCCAGAGCTCGGTCGAAGTGACACCGAGCTATGATTGACATGAAATGTTCAATGAGATCTCTTCCCGCGATATTGACGAGCCGTCACATACCCTTGGGGCAAGTCACAATTCACAGTATCCTGTACCGTAATAGGTTTGATAACAACCAGGTCCGCCCCTGGGTCGTTGTTGCATGATTGTATACCATGATAGTGTCTAAATGGACGTTTACAAAGACGTTACAATGTTTGAAGCATTATTTGTGTGTCAGCCAATTACAGAACGATATTGGCTATGAAATACTAGATAAAATGATATGAACGTTTGTTGCATTCACTTTATTATTGTTTCTGCTGTTTCTAAATTGAATTTCATAATTAGAACAAAGTTTAACTGATCATTAAAACATTTTTATTTTCAGACGCACATTTTGTGAAAGAGCAATGAGGTCACGCAGCTCTAGCTGCCTTATTGTGCCGATTTCCACAGAAGTGTTGAAATCTCACAGAAATTGTTTTCCAAGCGTTTGCTTTGCGTAAAAAAGTGGGTTAAAGGCGCCTTTCCTCAAAGAATACAACATTGCCGCAATAAACACGATGTCGCCTTACGCACGTTGGGGTTAAGCTGTAACAGCAGCATGAGAAATGGGCGTAGCTTGCCAAGAAATATTCGGTCCACAAAACAGTAAACAGTATCGTATTGTCGTCAATAAATCTAGTTCACTATTTAAAATGGCTCCATTATTGCGAGTTCACTTATGGCTACACCAAACTGTTCAGTAAGTTTAAACCATCACCGCTACCCCTGTCCTGTCCCCACCTCATCCCAACCCACAACCGATGTCGAAGAGACATGTATCTCCTTGCACCCCAACCTTCAGTTTCAAATCGAATAATGGTCTGCAAACATTCTGAAAAGTGAATTCTGTGTGAAATTAAACTCAAATCACTTAAACCATCCCTCTATTTTGTCACAAATTTGACCTCAATTTGAACTGTATTTTTTGTTAACTTATTTTTAATTTTACTGATCTTAATCTCAACTTTATATTTTCAATTTTTCATGTCATGGTAACACAATGGAGACTACGCAAGTCTACGTTAGACTATAATTACACGTTATATCCACACCTCAATAACTTCAGGCTACTCGCCAAGGTTGAAATACGAATCTTTGATAAAAGCTTACATTATCGAATTTCACAGTAAGAAGACATCAATATACCTAACTATGTGGAATTTAATACTAAACGGCAGGTATCTCTGCCACTTATCACAACTGCCTAGAGGCAATCCAACACCATCGACTTGACGGCAACGTTAATGGCTTGAATGTCGCAATAACTGTCTCCTCTCGCCAGTGAACTGTATCAAATATTAAACAAATGGTCATTAGCATTTTCTTAATATGCATTTACTAGTACAGGTTACGAACGTCAAGGCTGTAACTCAAGTCAGCGGAATCTCTTTATAACACTACCTTTCGTCCACAGAATACTGTAGCTATGTAGAGGATGGGGTTTTTTTGGATTATAATTGGAATAGTTAATGAACATAGAATTTCTTTTTATTTAAGTTGTTACAATTTTTACGGGAAAGGATGGTCATCATACGAACCCTAAAGCTTGACATATGTCCTGAATGTTGACAGCTGAAGTAAAACAGTTTTGACAATGATTGAGTGAGTGAGTTTCTTAACGTCTCCTTGAACACTAATCCACTTAAAAGACGCGGAAGGGATCGAGGACAATGTGGGAGAAAACATGGAAGCTTAAACATTTACCACTTTTTAAAACCCACTGATCACGGAGGATCTTGGATTTTAACGCATCATCAAAAGTTTCTGGCATGCAACTCGGTACGGTAATTTGCGGCGCCTTAGGCAAATGGAACACCGTACCGTGTCCCTTGTTTTTCGCAACTTTGATTGTAAGTTGAATAATGGATGAAAGATTAAAGGGACGCAGTAACCACAGATATGATGTTGATAACTCTTGAATGATAATCAAAGCGGAACTGAGATTTGAACCAACGATCCTGAACCGACAAGGGGAGGGAACTCTGAAAGCCCACCCATGATCCCAGTAGTAAGTGTGCCTCTGTATACAGTGTATTGTATACTAGAACACTTTTCCGGCAACCTGTGGCCTTGTGTCCGTTCCAACCTTACAACGAGGTTGTCCTCAGTTCCCAGGTATAGTATTCATGTACACAAGGATAAATATTTAATATTTCTACAAGTAAGGGCAAACATCGTATATTTGTTTAAGTGGGGCTAATACGGTATTACCTTAAGATCCATCCATGTATCAACAGTTGAGTCTAGGGAAAAGGTTTTAAAAAGGGAACTCAGCTTTTGTTAAGGGTCGGGTACCCGTTCCCCTAAATCGACCGTAGCACTTTGACTATCGTAAGTCGATGTTAAAGTATGGCAGTGCATCACCTTGTTGATGGCCACTTATGATCCTTTATATGTTTGTATTAGGTTTCAGTAATGACTTTTACATAGTATTTTATAAAGTTTTTTTCAGGAAAGGAAATTTCAGTATTAGATTTAGTATTAATTGGTTCGAATAGTTCTTGTAGTATTCAGTTCACTTATAAGTCAACATCTGTTGTAAGAGTTATATACTCTGTTTTCACTGTTGGTAAATTGCGTAATGTGAAACAAAGATAGTTTACATAAAATAGAAAGTCAACATCCCACGCAGCTCTAGGTATATTCTCTCTGTACGTCGTGCGTCATTCGTGGAAATTTCATTTCTTGCGCGTGTGTCGTATCTTTAATAACATCACACATAGATCCATATCAAAATATTATTGTCACCCAAATATTCATGAGTTCAATTCCCTGTTGTTTCCTTAAACACAGATATTGCCCCAACTTCATTTCCATTCCCCGACTTCAGTAGCGCCGATAGATCATTGTTAGTATCTGTGTCAGTCGGATTTAGCCATGATCTCTTTCGTACAAATAGCACGTGGCCTCAGTGCTATGAAAATCAATACTTAGATATTATTGAATATCGACCGGGTCCAAAGGAAATTGAAGTTAATATGATCTCGGAATTTCATAAGGGAACTAGGATCACTGTTCTCATGGTAACGTAAGACATCGAAGGAAATTCTAAAATTTCAGGATAGATTTACAGAGAGCGAAAAAATGAAAGTCTCTGAATTTCGCAATTGATAAAGTCATATGTATTTTCAGCATCGTTGTCAGAGTTAAAAGAATTGACGGGAGCGAAGATATATTGGAAATGTTCATTCGTGTCATTCCGAGACGGTTACGGAAAAGAGCGAGCGGTGACGAATGCTGATAACTGTTACTCCCATCAACGTCACAAAAAGGACAAAAAGTGCATCCGGTCATGTCAAAGGCACATCACTCTCAGGTTATAGATTACACTTGCTCTGTGGAGAGGGATCTATTTCCATCGTAGGGTAGATCTACCTCTGAATCATTCAAACGGATATTGCATTTAATAAATACGACCCACTATTGAAAATAAATAACCGATAGGGACGTATAATATTGACATATATTGTACAGTCAAACACCGACGTGTCGAATCTCGATGTGTCGAACTTCCGGTTGTCGAGAAGAAAGAGCCTAGTCCCTGCGTATTCAAGACAGGGTATTCGTTTGCACTTACGTTCGATATTTTGCGGTTATGTCGCACCCCGGATTACTCGAAATATTTACGTAGGTGTTCAATTTCGACATAATGATGTTTGGCTGTGTGCATTATGACATTGCTCAGTTGAAACTACATGTGATAGTTCTTTCCTAAAACAAGACAACAGCATGTTATCCGTTTTAATTAGTCACAAAATGATATTTTAACATCTGAACAATCGATTTACTGGAGCAAAGTGTCTCAAAAGGAGGCCATTTAATACCGTTTTCTTCCTAAATAGGATAATGACTAATTTACTGAGGAGGGGAAGAAAGAATACCGAGTTTGGATATAATATAACTGAAAATTGAAAGAACTGATGTTAAATTGGATTATGTTTATTCACCAATCAATCATTCCTGCAGCAGTCTGTAAAGGGTCTTCTTTGCCTGGATAATTTTGTCTTAGTTGAATTTGGTTCAATGAAGACTAGAGTAAGAAATATAACTGCAACTACTTGACATCTACAATGTTTCAAATGTGTGCCGAAAAAAGCAAATTTATAAATCTACAAAGCTAAGATATCTAAGATACCATTCAGAGCCCCGTTTCACAAAACTCTCGTAAGCCTAAGATCTCGTAACTTTTCTCGTAGCATTCATAGGGCGGTGGGGTAGCCTAGTGGTTAAAGCGTTGGCTTTCATGGGCACAATGTGTGAAGCCCATTCCTGGTGTCCCCCGCCCTGATGTTGCTGGAATTTTGCTAAAAGCGGCGTAAAACCAAACTCAGTCAGTCAGTCAGTCGTAGCATTCATACCTCCTATGTTACAGTATATGAGGTACGAATGCTACGAGAAAAGCTACGAGATCTTAAGCTTACGAGAGCTTTGTGAAACGGGCCCCAGCAGCTTTATCTTTCTTAAAAGTGTTCAGTACTATATATATATTAACTTAATAAATGTTCAGTTAAAAACCAACCTAAAACCCAAAGTGATCAAATCGGCGAAAACTGACACCAGGAAGTGCCAATACAGGACTTTTTGTACCGGACGAAACCAAACCGAACATTGTGATCTCACAGAAAATAATCGTTTACATATTATGTTTAAAACGATATTGATCGTTAATTTTTTTTATAAAATGGTACCCACGTTTTTTACTTTGCTGACAACGGATTCAACCAAGTCGGCAGCAAATCTTCGCATTTCCAGCTCCTCGTCGCCACCTTCAGACTACACGGACGACAGAATAAGGGTAAAATGTATAAATAACAACAACAACAAAATGGACGTCATCACGTCTTGGCTTTGACTCAGGTTCCTGTGTTTTAGTCCACGTGTTTCTGTCTACATGTAACAAAAGTACAAATACGACTAAAAGTCAAGCAAAAAGTGGTATCTGCATAAACATCATATAATTACATTTGTCAAAGTATTAATTGCAATTCCTGTATTCTGATTAGCTGAACTGGTCACGTGCTGTAACATACCGTTCCGTCTACATCTGACTGTGATGTGACTCTTTCTACGGCCTCGTCAATGGCGGCGTTCAGCATCTGCATAAACTCTAACGATTCGCTGCTTCCTGCAAAAACAAGGATTAAATCTTAGCAAAAAACCGGCTTTGCAAAACGAATTTTACGTCTCTGCTTTGACAGCACCGCCAGCAATATCCAAGCCTTATCACAGCGACCTGTAAATAATCTGATCGTCAATAAACCAACTAATAATACGTTGTGTGAGCAGCGTCCGACACGGGGTTTGAAGGTTGACCCAGGAGCTATGGCTAACAGAAACGTCACCCTAAATACCCCAAACATTAGGGCTGAGGTCTCAGAAGGTGGTGTGCAGCTCACACAGGGGGAACACAGTTTGATTGTTGGTAGAAGTTTATATGGGAATCAAACTTTGTAATTGTGGCAGTTTGTAACATAAACAACTGATTATATACACATAAAGTAGTTGTATGTTGGTACAGAGACTCATACCGCCACCATGGAAGAAAAAGTCCTTTGGTTACAAGTCATCTAGTGTTGCAGCTGCCACTAAATGGATCTCGCTGCCAGACTCTCTCAAAGAAGCCCAGTCGTTGGAACAGATCAAGTGTCTCTTAAAGACTCATCTGTTCCGTGTGTATTTTTAAAGTGACCTTGACCTTGTACTGTCATGTTTTTACTTTTCCTTGACCCTTGTATGCGCTATGAGCAGCCCCAGTGGAGTTTAGCGCCATGTAAATGGACATTATATATACTACCCATCAAAAGTTTAGACTCACTTAAAGCACTCACTATATGTTATGTATATGTATGTGGTTACATCGAAGATGAATTGCTCCACCAACTTGGGGGAACCAACTGAAAACCTTATGCAGATGAATTGCACAAGGATGATGCTTCAAATTGCGAAAGGCATGAGCAAATGTCGTGCATGTGAACAGATTCGTTTTGGTGTAAAGTTTTGTTAAGAATTCGCCAATTTTCACAGATTTTAATCATTTACTGAACTCATGACAATAATCTTTTCAATGTTACGAATATGTTTTACAATACACCAGTTCATAACTAAACAGTACCTTTAAACAGTATGGAATATTTTGCAAAAAGCTAGTTTAGAACAGTGGACAAGTAAGTGGCTACATTTACACTAGTGAGTCTAAACTTTTGATGGGTAGTATATTAGTATGTTGGTACGCGCCTAATCGCATAACGTTACTTCCTGCACCTGCTACAAGTCTGTACCAAGTCAGGTTATCTATGTGCATTCATAGTTCGTAGCAGCGAAGAAAAAAAGCTAAAAAAAGCTATTTGTTTAAATTCATTGCCGAGGATTATTTCCTCCATTCACGTACACTCGGCCAGGTTGCAAGAGCCCAGTCCAATATTCATATCACAGTTAATGACACCGTGCAGGGATAGAAATACCTGTTTTTCTAAGTGTGCCTAAGGGCACCAGGCAAAGATTTTAAATCAAGTGTGCCCACTGTGGCACATGTTTTTCAGAAAAATGACTGTAGCGATGATGATGATCATTTGAACCTGTTTTCTGTTATCACTGATATGTCTTCTGTTTGAGATGGTTTTCTTAAACTTCATTTGTTCTACTTTCCCAACACCTTTAATAGCTAAGAATTTTGTGACAGGTTCACTTGTTCAATATATCTTACATACACAATTATCTCTTCAATAACTGAACTATCAGTACTCCCATCACTCTGTTTGTCATTTGCGTAAATGTTTTGGGGATTAAATGACTAGAGGTGAGTTATGTGTCTAAATCTTTAGGCGTGCCTTAAGGGCACCAAGACCTTTTTTTATCCGTGCCATTTCAATATTTACCGTGCCATGGCACGCTAACATATAGGGTATTTCGAACCCTGACACGTATGGTATCTAAAGGCATGATTCAGGTCCGTCAGCATATGACCATAGTCGAGGAATTCAATAAACAAAGTCACCGCGTCTGACCGCCCGATCAATGTATTCGCCACTTACATACAATAGTTAACTTGGGAAATATTCTAACCGTAATTGCTATGGCGATCCAGCCAGTGAAAGCTGGGTGGTTCTTTTCATCAGGGTACGGAACAGCTAATAATGGTCGACAGTGTTGTTTGTCACACATTGCCGATATTGAATCATGACAGAAAGCGAAATTAGAAATCTATAAATCATAAGAGAGTCCACTCAAGCAGGAGAGGCGGTTGGGTAGCCTAGTGGTACAATCGTTCGCTTGTCACGCCGAAGACCCGGGTTCGATTTCCCACATAGGTACAACTACAAGGTGTGACGCCCATTTCGAGTGTCCACTCCTGTGATATTGCTTGAATATTGCTAAAAGCGGCGTAAAACAAAACTCAGTCACTGATGAGAAGGACGGATCGGAATAAAAAAACGCGTCATAATTAACTAAGAAATGAGTCTTCACGAAGGTCTGACGTAAACTGAACAAGCATTTTATCGCTGAGGCAAATACCTACGACGTCATCAACGGTAAGACAATGAACATTCCACATAAAGCCACATCTGAATGACGGCTCAGAAAACAAAGTTTACCCGGTCACAAGCTCCACGTGCACTTATGTCAATGTTATAGGGACTAATTCAGGACAGCCATCGTCCAAATATTTAAAAAGTCCAAAACTATGTACTCAAGACATGTGAGACTTCATTGTAATATATATATGACGCTAAGCTGTATTTTTAATCACTACTGTACATCCTTATCACTACCGCATTGTAAATTGACTTGTCAGCCCATTTAATATTGTATAAGACATTTATAACCTTCATTGGTAATCCCCCCTTGGCTGAGTCTCCCATCACATCAACTGGTCAAGGAAGTGCTATTGTTTTCTGTTTGTCCATTGATGAGTCGTCGCCTGTCCATTGTTGTCAAAAACTGTATATATACTTAGTATGCTTACATGTAGACAGGGAAGGCGAAAGAGTACGAGTCCGGTATTCCGACTGTCTGTAGGGACGACCACGAGCAGGAGAATGCCGCTCGTTGGAAACGCCCTGTGGTTGAGCAGGTACTCCGCTCTCCCACATGTATGTCTTGTGCATTTGTTTGACATGTAACTAAAGAAGTTTGAACTCAACTATGCCTTCGTCTTCATCAACGCACACTTCATCTTAATTATGAGCTAAGTCCCCAGTCGACGTATCCACGCGTTGACATCAACATAATGATATGTTTGGGAAAGGAGGTAACTAACTAAAACTTAAGAAAAGTAGTACGGAATGTGTGCGTGTAAACTGGGGACAAACTTGTTATTCCTTACATTTAAGAGAACTATTGAAAGGATTAAGAACACAGCCAAGGAAAGTATCACTAAATTTGTTGAAGCGGACATTGAAATGTGTCTGTCTTATCACATGGAACAAGTGCACGTAATGGTGCCTCCCAGAAACTAACAATCATGGCTCGTGTAAGGTTTAAAACTAGCAGAACAGGGCTCCTTTCACGAAGCAACCTTTACTAAGATTAACCTTAAATCCCATTCTTTAACTTTGCACTAAGGTTACCTTAGTGACTTACGATCACCTTAGTGCTTTGTGAAAGGAGGCCCAGGGTGCCGTTGTACAAGCGATCGTTGCGCTAAGGTGACCGTAACTCCCATACTTTAACACTGACTTAAGGTAGCCTTAGCGCTAAGGTTGTTTTGAACAACAGCACCCAGGTCGCGAACACATCGCTCCACAACCACCACCGTGTGATATTCATTTGATAATTAATCATCAAAATTGACTGTCCCGAATCGCATCCCTGTCGCAATTGTAGGACGTGGAGTTTCACAACCTATAAAAATGAACACTAGCAAGGTCGCGCTCATGATGTACAGACATCACGACGCGGAAATAGAAATAGACGCGCAGTGCGTAGTCCAAGCTTAAATCAGTTTCATGCATCCTCAAAATCTATAAACCCGTTTTCTTAAAAACCTAAAACAATTTAACAAGATTAATCAGTGTTGCGTCTTCATTCTGACTGAAAGATTTCTTCTTAGGATAGACAGGAGAGTGGAAGGTCAAAGGTATGACGCTTCATACCAAAAAGACTTTAAAAAAATTGCAGTTGCAGGTACCCCGTATTTAAGAGGATAAACAAGTCAGTTACTGTCTGTGGGGGGTATCCGTGTTTAACGGCGGCATGTCATATGTCGCCTCGCTGACACTATAAAACCGACATCATTCGGGACTAGTACAAGCAGTGACAAACACACACTCTCGTGCATGTACGGGGCTATAAAAAGAGCAATGATCTTGGACGCGGCACTGAACCCCATGTCACCTCACTATACCTCCTCATTGACACCAGAGAACATCCGGGTTAGAATTGATCTTCAGTAACCCATGCTTGTCGCAAGAGGCGACTAACGGGATCGGGTAGTCAGACTTGGTTGACACATGTTATCGTATCCCAGTTGCGTAGATTGATGCTCATGCGGTTGATCACTGGATTGGCTGGTCCAGATTTGATTATTTACAGACCGCCGCCATAAAGCTGGAATATTGCTGAGTGCGGCGTAAAACAACAAACCAAACCTTAATCTCTTCAGTGAACACTCTTAACTCGCTTTTTCTTGTAATATGCTTGCCACATGACGTCATCTTGCTAAGCAATTTAAACCTAATTTTTTGTCAGATTATCGTGTATAAGCTAATCTTGGAATATTACTTACTGCCAGGCAAAATGAAAAACACGAGTAATTATTACCTGCAGACACACGGCGATTTCCTGAGAGTGCACAGTCGACATCACCAACAAAGCCTCACGACATGTATGGGTAATTCCTGTCCGAGTGTGCACAAAATTGTACATTTTCAATGTAAGATATTAAACCTTCAAATTGTCACAAAAACAATCATTTATATATTTTGTCTCAATCTGCTGGCCTCCTTTCGCTAAAACGAACACCATAAAGCGAGGAATATCAAAAGCGCTCGGATCAATCGACGTTATTAATGTACAAGTTGAAGGCACCGTAAGCAAATCTGCCGAAATATTGATCACCGCAAAGTCAGTAATTGGCATGTTAGTTACGACTCAAAGTTGTCGAGGACAGCCCTGCAGGCACGCAGA